TTTTATTTATTTTAGTTATTATTCATATTTCTATGCTGCCCACTCTCCAAGGACTCTGGGTGGCTTACACCAAAGAAGTATACTAAATAGCATATTGCCCCCAGCAATCTGGGTCCTCATTTTACCCACCTCGGAAGGATGGAAGGCTGAGTCAACCTTGAGCCGGTGAGATTTGATCCGCCGATCTGCTGAATTAGCAGTCAGCTGAAGTAGCTGCAGTACTGCATCCTAACCACTGCGCCACCTCGGCTCATACCCATACTTATCGTCATGGGGGATTTCAACCTTCCATCTGCGGGTGAGGCATCAGAGGCGGCTCGGGAGTTCATGGCTTCCATGACGGCCATGGACCTGACCCAGTTAGTTCAAGGCCCAACTCACATAGGGGGACACACTCTGGACCTGATTTTTGTCTCTGGTCAGTGGTTGAATGATCTTGGTAGAGGGGACCTAGATATTAAACCCTTGTCATGGACAGATCATTCGCTCCTCCAACTAGACTTTCCTACCGCCTTCCCCCGCCGCAGGGAGACGGAGCCAACTAGATGGTTCCGTCCCAGGCGCCTGATGGACCCCGAAAGGTTCCTGACGGAGCTTGGGCCGTTCCCTGAGACCCTAACACATGACTCGACTGAAGAGCTGGTGGCCGCCTGGGAAAGGGCGGCCACCGGAGCTTTGGACCGCGTCGTGCCTTTGCGGTCTCTGACCCGATGCCGATCTCAACTGGCTCCTTGGTTCTCTGAGGAGCTGAGAGAGATGAAGCGTCGGAAAAGACGCCTAGAGAGCATTTGGAGGACTAGTCAATCCGATTCCGACTGGACACAGGTGAGGTCTTATATCAAGACCTACCTAGTGGTGATAAAAGCGGCAAAGTCTAACCACTTTTCCGCTCTTATCACATCTGCAGAGAACCGCCCAGCCGCCTTGTTTAGGGTGACCCACTCCCTTCTCCGGGGGGGAGTGCGGGAAGATCCCTTGCAGGGTCGTGCTGAGGATTTTGTGCAATTCCTGCATGATAAAGTCGCTCGGATTCGGGATGGCTTGGACTCCGACTGGATGAGTCCACGGGAGGAGACGAGGGCAGGTCTTGAGAATGTTATCTGGGAGGAGTTTGATCCTGTGACTCCTGAGGATGTGGACAGGGTTCTGGGTAAGATTAGTGCCGCCATGTGTTTATTGGACCCGTGTCCCTCCTGGTTAGTGCTGGCCTCCCGGGAGGTTACACGAGGCTGGCTCCAGGGGATTATAAATGCTTCTTTGAGTGAGGGTGCCTTTCCTGCCACCTTGAAAGAGGCGGTAGTGAGGCCCCTCCTCAAGAAGCCTTCCCTGGACCCGGCTGAATTAGACAACTATCGTCCAGTCTCCAACCTTCGTTTTGTGGCGAAGGTTGTTGAGAGCGTGGTGGCACGACAACTTCCCCGGCACCTGGATGAAGCTATCTATCTGGACCCGTACCAGTCGGGCTTCAGGCAGGGGTACAGCACAGAAACGGCATTGGTCGCGTTGGTGGATGATCTCTGGAGGGCTCGGGACAGGGGTTGCTCCTCTGTCCTAGTCCTATTAGACCTCTCAGCGGCTTTTGATACCATCGACCATGGTATCATGCTGCAGCGATTGAGGGGGTTAGGAATAGGGGGCACCGTTCTGCGGTGGTTCTCCTCCTTCCTCTCCGACCGCTCGCAGTTTGTGTTGGCAGGGGGACAGAGGTCGACCTCGAGGCATCTCGCATGGGGAGTGCCGCAAGGGTCGGTCCTCTCGCCTCTCCTGTTCAATATTTATGTGAAGCCGCTGGGTGAGATCATCCGTGGTTTTGGGGTGAAGTGTCATCTGTACGCTGACGATACTCAGCTGTACATCTCCACCCCAGACCACCCCAACGATGCCCTTGATGTGATGTCCCGCTGCCTGGAGGCCGTGCGGGCCTGGATGGGGAGGAACAGGCTCAAACTCAACCCCTCCAAGACCGAGTGGCTGTGGCTTCAGGCGCCCCGATATAGTCAGCAGGTGCCATCGCTGACTATTGGGGGTGAATCCTTGCCCCCCACAGAGAGGGCTCACAATCTGGGTGTCCTCCTGGACGCACGGCTGTCTTTAGAAGAGCACATGACGGCCGTGGCCAGGGGGGCCTTTTATCAGGTTCGCCTGATTCGCCAGTTGCAGCCCTTTCTGGATCGGGACACCTTGCGCACGGTCACTCACGCCCTTGTCACCTCCCGGTTGGACTATTGTAATGCTCTCTACATGGGGCTCCCCTTGAAGACCACTCGGAGGCTCCAGCTGGTCCAGAATGCGGCCACGCGGGTGGTTATGGGTGCAACTCGTTGCGCCCACGTGACACCCCTCCTGCGCGAGCTGCACTGGCTCCCAGTGGTCTTCCGGGTGCGATTCAAGGTGTTGGTTACCACCTTTAAAGCGCTCCATGGCATAGGACCCGGGTACCTTCGAGACCGACTTCTGCCACCAATAGCCTCCCACCGACCAGTCCGCTCCCACAGAGAGGGTCTCCTCAGGGTGCCATCAGCCAAGTTATGTCGGCTGGCGACACCCAGGGGGGAGGGCCTTCTCTGTGGGAGCCCCAGCCCTGTGGAATGAACTGCCCCCGGAAATACGTAAAATCTCCGACCTCCGGGTGTTTCGCTGCGCTCTGAAGACCCTGTTGTTCTGCCAGGCCGGGCTATTAACATAACGTTTTAAATTGAGGTATTTTAAATTTCTGGGATTTTAATTGGAGCCTAATTATTTAATGATTTTAAATTTTAATTGTTGTTTTGTTTCTGTGTTTTTAAATAGGCTGTACACCGCCCTGTGTCCTTCGGGAGAAGGGCGGTATAGAAATAAAATTATTATTATTATTATTATTATTATTATTATTATTATTATTATTATACATCGGATCAACACATGCTACATTGTGTTGATCATCTCAAACTATGGAATGTCTTTAGAAGAATCGAAATCCAAGAACATCTATTGCCCACATGTGAAACCTGTATACAGGTCTGGAAGCCACAATACTTCTGACAGATCATTGCAAAGCAGACAAGCTCCAAGTTGGCAAAAGAAAACAAGGTTGTACACTCTCCCCTTATTTATTTAACATGTATGCCAAATAAATATTAAATGAAGCTGGATTGGAAAAAGATGAGCATGGTGTCAGCTCCTCTGGAAACGCCAGTGCTTTGCCGGGCGATGTAGCGCACATACACGCACAAGTAAGTGGAGCCAAAACCCAGTTTAATGATAGCTACATAGCGACTTACAGTAGGCACTGAACTGGTTAATCAGAAACAAAGTCGGAGATGCCTGTGCTCTCCTCCCATGCAGTTTTATAAGGAGTGGGAGTGTTTTACTATCATCAGGTAATCTGCAACAGCTGCTGGAATCAAATCTGCCGCTCGGTTCTCCTGTCTTTGGGTGCAGATCTCTGATGTCATCCTTAGCTTCGTTTACAATCTGCTACACAAACCCCCCTCCTTTCCTTCTTCGTGTATCCCACCCCCTCTTCTTTGTGTTCCATCCCTCACCTGCTATCACCCGTGCATACAGTCCTAATATCAACACACCCCCTCCACCTGCTCTGTCGCTGGATTTTGTTCTGGGTCGTCCGGAGGGGATTCCCCCCCTTCCTGGTCTCCCATGCTGACGTGGTAACGCGGTGTCAAGCGGTATTTGACACTCGACACATGGTTTTAAAATTGAAAGAAGAAACATCAGTAATCTCTGCTATGCTTATGATAAAAGTTTGATAGGTTGCAAAGGATCTACAAACTTTTGTGATATAAATGACGGAACACAATGAAAAAATGGGACTTCAATTAAATATGAAGAATGGTTAACGACAATTGCAAACAAATAGAGACAAGGTGGCGCAATGGTTAGAGTGCAGTACTGCAGCTACTTCAGCTGACTGCTAGTTCAGCAGATCAGCAGATCAAATCTCATCGGCTCAAGGTTGACTCAGCCTTCCATCCTTCCGAGGTGGGTAAAATGAGAACCCAGATTGTTGGGGGCAATATGCTATTTAGTATACTGTCTTTGGTGTAAGCCGCCCAGAGTCCTCGGAGAATGGGCGGCATAGAAATACAAAAAATAAATAAATAAATAAATACAGGTGAAGATTCTGAGATGGTAAATAGGTTCTGCCTTTTAGGATTGACTATCAACAATGAAGGAACTAACAATCAAGAAACATGCTGCAGACTAGCACTTGTTAAGTAGCCTTGAAGAAAACAATGTTCATAGATATGACTATATTTGCAAATATCAGAATCATCCAGGAAACAGTTTTTATTCTATGTAAACAAAAGTTAAACTTCAAAGAAACTAGTTGAAAAGAATATTGACACTGTTGAAATTTAGCATTGGAGATGCTTTTGAGAATACCTCTTGGGAATACCAGGAATTGCCAAGAAATTATACCAATGGATCATTAAGCAAATCACTTCGAGTTTTCATTGGAAAAATATGGCTTATTTTATGCTACTTCAGATGCATTATGTGAAAACTCAGCTCCCTGGAAAGATTCTAATGTTGAATAAGATGGAAAGAAAGGGAAGATGAGGTCCAGCAGCAAAATAGATGGATCTAAACACAGTGGCAGTGGGTACACCATTATAACACCTGAAAGATCAATTTAGGAATAGATTGTCTGATTTTTTCAACATAGGCCACCCTGTCCTTGAATGGCTGGGTGGACTGGATATTAACATTTGAAGCACTATAAATCTATATATTTGCCGTACGCTAAATAAAAAAATAAGGAATAGATTGCCATGGAGAAAATCTATCCAGGTCTCTGAAAATCAGCGTTGACCTGATGGTCGCAATCAATCATAAAATGCAGAAACTGAATTGGAAATAATATGACAAAAGTGGATTATCCTTAATTTTTCAGGCTGTTTCTAGACACAAAATAGAATCCTCTAATTCATTAAAGGACATTTTTAATATTCAAGATGTCTACATTAATTGATACTGATTTTTTTTTTTCAATCTTGCAGAGTGGACAACTTGTGTAGCATGGTTCCAAAACAGAAAGAAACCCTGGAGGCTTACTTTCAGTTTTTTCTATAAATAACAACAACAACACAACAACAACAACAGAAATGAAGTAAGCTATCAGTTTGGTTTCAATAACTGTTAAGAAGCACAACCTACAAAAGCAAAATATTCTGACTCTTCTTTTCACAAACTATGTTACCTATTTTATTTGATCAGAATACAGTTCATCTCAGAAGCTTGAAGGATCTATTGAAACTTTGCTGGACCCAGCCAATTTTAAATGACCAGAAGAATTGGATTATTGCTGTATTTTATTTAATATAAAGAAGGAGGAAAAAAAGAGACAAAGAATGGAAAATTTAACTGTTATACTTTCATTTAATTGAAGATTGTTTTGTTTTTCACTATTAAAGGATTCGCCATTTTGTTCAGGGATAATTATGTTTTAAACAAATCATTTACACATTCTAAGGAAACCCAACTTTATTTTTGCCCAAGAATATATAATGGTTCACATACAGTTCTATAATTATTGTTCAAATAATTATATGACAATCAGTCTCATGAATATTTTGAATTAGATGCATTATCTCAGATTAACTGGACTTTATTTTATATTTCTAGGATTAAATATAGTTCTAATTCCTAGTTTTGTCCGATTGCTCTATATCAAATCCTCATGCGGCTGGGGAAAGATGAAGGAACCAATAAGGTATCTTTAATAAGGTATCTTTACGGTTGGTTAAATGTAAATGCAGAATCTTAGAAACTGATTTCAACCCTCATTTTTTAAAATTTTTTAAAAACTTTTATTCATTTAAGAAACCACATAATACATTTATAAATGCAAATAAAACAATTTACAACAAGCATCATCTTAATGACATCTACCTATAATATCTGAATTGTTACAATATCAATATCCTATATTCTTCAGTATACATTATTTCTCTCACCTTATATAATGATATTATTTTATTGATATCTGGTGTCTCTTTCTTAAATTTCATTTGATGTAAAAATTTATTTTACTCTATTGATATCTTTTCTTTTATTTAATTTTTCTTTCTTTCTTCTTCTCTTTTTTTTCACTTCCCTCTAACCATTTATACCACTTTTGCCAGACCAGATAATATTCAGATTCTTCCTTTCCTTGGATCTCCTTGGTGAGTTTATCCATCTCAGCACATTCCATAATTTTGGATATTAATTTCTCTTGAGTCGGGACCTCTTCTTGTTTCCAATTTTGTGCGTATATGATTCTTGCTGCAGTCAAAATGTGTGTTATTAAATATATTATTTCTTTTTCATATTTGCTTGTAGGTATTCCTAATAAGTAAGTTTCTGGTTTTAATGGTACCTTTTGAGTTATTATTTGTTCCAGTTGCATTTTTATATTGTTCCAGAATTTTTTAGCTTTGGAACATGACCACCATATATAATAGTATGTCCCTTTATGCGCTTTTACATTTCCAACAGAGTGGAGATGTACTGGGAAACATTTTAGAAATTCGCGCCGGTGGTAGATGCCACCTATAGAACAATTTATAAGCATTTTCTTTGTATGGTACAGATAATGTTAATTTATTAATACTTTTCCACAATTTTTCCCACTTATTTAATTCTATTGCATACCCAAAATTCGTCGCCCATGTGATCATATTCTCTTTAACTACTTCCTCTGCTAGTTTATATTCCAATAGAAAATTATAAATTTTGGTTATTAATTTCTCATTGGGGCCTAATAAAATTTTATCCAACTGATTTGGTTCCATTTGAATTCCAGTTTTTTCCATATCAGATTTATATCTGGATTTTAATTGCAAATATGATCACCACTCTATTTCCACATTTTGCATTCTCAATTCTTCTCTTGTTTTTAGTTTTCCTTCTTCATTTAAGATTCCCTGATATGTTTTTAATTTATTTGTATCTATTGTATTTGGATAAATATGTGCTTCCATTATGGAAGTCCACCTAGGAATCCTATCATAGTGATATTTTCTGATTTCATTCCATATTTTAAGCAAATTGTCTCTTACAATATGTCTGCAAAATCAACCCTCATTATAGTGAATTAATTAAGACAGAATTTTGGGTTCATTTTTTTAGTGATCCAAAATTCTTTTTTTAAAAATGTTTTTACTTTTCTTTCTACCTGGCTGATTTCAGTTCCTGTTTATGAGATAGGAGTCAGGTGCCGTTTCTGCTGTCACTTGATCGTTAATGTCTGTTCTCTCCTGCATTGTTTGTCCAGCCTCCCCCAGTGATTCTGATTGCATTGTTGCAACCTCAGAGTACAAACATTAAACTTCACATGAGTAATAATGCCTGTATCATTTAAATTAAATAAACTCATGCCTATATAAACTTTGCAAATTTTTGAGTCCATTTGAAATACCTGGAAAATCAGAATGGTGGTATGCAAATAATTTATCGGTGGGGAACAAAGCAACAATGTTGTTCCTTGTAGATTATAATGGAGCACCTAGATATTATTCTCCAAAAACAGCTTTGTTAACAAATATCCCTTTTTAGATTAGAATTTTATAGTGATTGAAGTACAGTAAGCTATTATAGACTAATTATGCCTAGTTTTCTGCAATTTTTATAGGATGAATAATCTCATGTGGTTTTTTCTATTTTTCTATCTCCAACCACACTAAGAAAAGAATCAATGTTTCTAAGTAGATATTTAAATAACCTATTTAACCAGGCAAATAATAGGAAAGGATTTATAGTTTTATTCACTGGATTAAAAAAAGGACTCCCAGTTTTACAGTTTTGTAACTGTATTATGAGAATCATTTTTACTTAAAATAATTAGTTAAAAATTAGAAATAAAGACAAGAATAGTATGAGTAAGCTTTAATATTTCCATATAATTAGAATATCAGTTAATTTTCTGTAAGAATACATTCCCTTCCAGGATTTATATTTTAAAAAACAATAATTTTAAAATGGCATATTTCTCCTTTTCTGCGTCAGCTCAGACATTGAAATCCAACACTCCTGGAGAGTACTAGATTGAAGATTAGAGTTTTAGTTTAACAGAAATACTATTTTTCCTATCTCATCCTGATAAGAATCACTTCTTTCACTTAATAAACAGAAGGACCTGATTTTATTAAAAGGTACAAAATAAGTAATAGATACAAGTCGAACATTAGGACTCAAAGCAGGGCAAAGTAATAGTTAATATTAATATCTTCCATTGGTTCGGAATAATAATTACACTGATTGATCCAATATAATTGAAAAACCATTGAACAAAATGTCAAAAAATGTAGGGTATATCATAATGTATCAACAAACCAAATGTTTTTTTAACATAGTATAATAGTTATAAGATACTGCACTTGTAATTTGCGCCCTGAGTAATTTGCATATAAATATCCAGCTTCTTTGCCCTTCCCTTTCCCCATACCCATCTCAATTTAAATTCTACTTTAATTAATCCACTCTGTGTATCCGTTGTAATAAGGTATAATTCACAAAAACTTTTTACTGGAACAAAGTTTGTTAATTTGAAAGACTCAAATTTTGAGCTATCGTAAATTAAAATACAATACCTGCAGTGGTGGGATTCAAACAATTTGGCTGGTTCGGCTGAACCAGTTGTTAACTTTGTGTGCAGTTCAGAGAACCGGCTGAACCCCACCACTGGCTGGCTCCTCCCCACCCCTCCCCCCTCCCCTCCTAGGCACTCCTTGCCTCAGCCAGCCTCTCTTAAGGTCATTTTGGCATCTTGGCGCTCCTCTAACTATCCATCCCCTGCCCCCTCCAAGCAAGCGACATCAGTGCAGGCAAAACTCCAAGGCAGCTGTGACAAGACACTCGGAGGGAGGGGCTGCAGCTACTAAACAGGCGGCTAAGCTAAATACCTGAAAGACCCCATCAGTCACCAGGCACCTCAGCAGGTGGTGAACGAGGCCTCGGCTGAGCTCCTCAGCAGATAGTGGGCTTTGTAGGGGGCCAATCTAGTGCCCGGAGCCGGCTCTGCCCTAAGAAGGCCGGGGGCATCATTGGAGTTCCTGCCAGTTCCCATGTGGCATCATGATCTACGAGCTGTTGCTGGTGCTGCGTGGCTACCTAGGTGGCCTCTTTGTGGGCAGCAGTTGGGGGTGGAGGCCCTCCCTCCATGGGCCTGGTCCAGCACCCTTCTTCCTTTTCCTCAGACCTGCCAGTATTCCCAACTCCCTAGCAAACTGGCTTCTTCCTAGCAGCTCTTTTCTGCCTTTCAGGATCAGTGGCAAAGGCGAAGTTTTGTGGGCAGAAGAGTTGCACTGCAATGAAAAAATGGGAAATGGAGTGGCCGGCATGAAGGAAGGAGGAGGAGCAGGGAAAGAGGAATAGTGGCTCCCTCATGCTGGCCGCTCCGTTGCCCGTTAGTCCACTGAAGTGTAGCATCGCACCGCAGAACTTGCCTCACCCACCACCACCCAGATGCCCTCACTTCCCCCAAGCATTTCTTTGATGCCTGATTTCCAGCTCCATCGTGTTTCTCCCTCATCTTTCTCATCTTTGTGTGCAGGGAAACAAAAGTTTGTGGGACTAAAAACAAAAGTTTAATCAATCAATTCCAACTTCTAACAAAATAATAATAATAATAATCTCACGAAGTTAAAATTGATTGAACTTTTTTTTTAGTCCCACAAACATGACAGAGAAAAGTGACGGAGCTGGAAATCAGATAGGCAAAGAAATGCTTGGGGGAAGCGAGAGCATTTGGGCACTAAGTATTGAAACAGACTCGTCTCTCTCCAGCAGTTGCCCAGGACCACTGGAGGGAAGGCCAGCATCTACCAGCACTTAAACACAGTGGCATTCCAACTCTGGCCAGGAAGGGGCAGATAGTATGGGCACTGCAGGCAGTACGCAGCGAGAAACACGGCGAAACTGGAAATCAGGCAAAGAAATGCTTGGGGGAAGTGAGGGTATCTGGGTGGGGCAAGCTCCACGGCACTGTGCTACAATGGAGAAATGGACAACGGAGTGGCCAGCATGAGGGAAGGAGGCTGCTTTTCCTCTTTCCCTGCTTGTCTTTCCCTTGTGCCAGCTTCTTTATTGCAGTGTAGCACCCAGGATCCACTTTGATAGCGGGGGGAG